TCCATTCTCTCCCTAGACCTTGGAAATGACTAATTTACTTTTCTGTCGTTAAAATTTTTCATAAACAATGGAATTATAAAATATGTGGCCTTTGGCCTTTTGTGTCTGCTTTATTTTCACTTAGCATAATACTTTCAAGGTTCATGCATGTTGTAGCATGTATCAGTATATTCCTTTTTATATCTAAACTAGAGGCCCGGTGCACAAAAATTTGTGCACTCAGGGGGGGAGGGGGGTCCCCCAGCCCGTCCTGTGCCCTTTCGCAGTCTGGGACCCCTCGGGAGATAACAACCTGCTGGCTTAGGCCTGCTCCCAGGTGGCAGAGGGCACGCCCAATCCCTAGGTGCAGCGCCTGGTCAGGCTCAGAGCAGGGCTGATTGGGGAGTTGGGGCGCCGCCCTGTCATGCACAGAGCAGGGCGGATCGGGAGGTTGCGATGCCACCCTCAGTCACGCTAAGGGTAGGGCCAATTGGGGGGTTGGGGCACCGCCCCCTGTCACACTTAAGGCAGGGTCGATGGGGAGGTTGCGGCGCCACCCCCTGTCACGCACAGAGCAGGGCCAATAGGGGAGTTGGGGCACCGCCCCCTGTCACTCACAGAGCAGGGCCCATCAGGGGGGTTGGGGCTCCGTACCCTGTCACACACAGACCAGGGCCCATCAGGGGGTTGAGGAGCTCCCCCCTGTCATGCAGAGAGCAGGGCTGATCAGGGGGTTGAGGAGCCGCCCCCTGTCACACACAGAGCAAGTCGGATCAGGGGGTTGGGGCGCTGCACCCTGTCACACTCAGGGCAGGGCCAATGGGGAGGTTATGGCTCTACCCTGTCACACACAGAGCAAGGCCTGTGGAGGGGGCTTGGGGTGCCACCCTCTATCACCCACAGAGCAGGGCCGATCAGGGGGTTGGGGCGCCGCCACTGTCACACTCAGGGCAGGGCCGATGGAGAGGTTATGGCTCTACCCTGTCACACACAGAGCAAGGCCCGTGGGGGCGGGGGGTTGGGGCGCCGCACCCTGTCACACACAGAGCAGGGCCGATCAGGGGGTTGGTGCGCCGCACCCTGTCAAACACAGAGCCGCAGGGCGATCAGGGGATTGGGGAGCTCCCCCTATCAGGCACAGAGCAGGGCTGATCAGGGGGTTGGGGCGCCTTCCCCTGTCACAAACAGAGCAGGGCAGATCGCGAGGTTGTGGCCCTGCCCCTGTCACACACAGAGCCACAGGGCGATCAGGGGGTTGGGGAGCTCCCCCCTATCAGGCACAGAGCAGGGCCAGGGGGTTGGGGAGCTCCCCCCTATCAGGCACAGAGCAGGGCTGATCAGGGGGTTTGGGCGCTGCCCCCTTTCACGCTGATCCCGGTGCTGGGAGGCCTCGCTACTCCGCTGATCCCGGTGCCGGGAGGCATATTACCCTTTTACTATATAGAATAGAGGCCTGGTGCACGGGTGGGGGCTGGCTGGTTTTCCCTGAAGAATGTCCTGGATCAGGGTGGGGGTCCCCACTGGGGTGCCTGGCCAGTCTGGCTGAGGGGCTGAGGGCCGTTTTCAGGCTGGCGGGTGACTGAAGCTCCCAACCGCTCCTTTTTTTCTTTTTTCTATTCTGGGCCAGCTTTAGCTCTGAGGCCTCACCTTTAGCTCTGAGGCCTTTACCTTCTGTATTTGATACAATGTTGCGGTCCGGCTGGCTGAAGCCCGGCTGACTGAAAGCAAGTTTCTAGGGTTTTGTTTAGCTTCTATATTTGCAACATAGTTGCTTAGAGTTGCAGCTGAGAGGCCGGCAAGTCAGGCGGGGAACGTTGGAGTTCACCATCACTGGAGCAAGCAAGCCTCCCTGTTCGCTTCAGTGCATGGCTGCCGGCCGCCATCTTGCCTGACAGTTAATTTGCATAAGGATATGCTGATTAGCCAATGGAAAGGGTAGCGGTCGTACGCTAATTACCATGTTTCTCTTTTATTAGTGTAGATAATATTCCATTGTATGGATAAACACATTTTCTTTCTACATTCATCAACTAATGGATATTGTGTTGCTTCCACTTTTGGGCTATTTTAAATAATGATGCTATAAACATTCAAATACAAGTTTTGTGTGGACATATGTTTTCCACTCTCTAGGGTATGTACTATGGGGCAGAATTGCTGGATTATATCGTAACTCTCTTTTTAATTTTTGAAGAATTATCAAACTACTTCCCAAAGAGCTTGAACAGTTTTGAATTCCCAACAGTAATGTACCATATGAGGATTCTAATATCTCCATATTCTTTCAATGACTTTTTTATTTTTTAAATTATAGCCATTCTGGTGGGTATGAAGTTATATCTTGTGGTTTTTATTTGAATTTCCCTAATGAATAATGATGTTGAGCATCTTTTCATGTGATTATTGACCATTCGTATATCTTCTTTGGAGAAATGTCTACTTAGATCCTTAGCCCATTTTAAATTTGAATTATTCTTTTTATTGTTGACTTCTAAATGTTCTTTATATATTCAGGATACCAATTCCTTACTAGATATATGATTTACAAACATTTTCTTCCTTAATGGACTCAGCAATGGTTGCTTGGATTGTACACCAAAAACAAAAACCATAAAAATAGATAAATTTCATCAAAAATAAACATTTTTTGTTATAAAGGACATTATAAAAAAATGACAGAATGGTTTCTGATCAGAAATTGGTTATTAATCTTACTGATTATTTGCTTCACCTTTGCTGCTTTCAAGATTCTCTTTTTATCTTTGTCTTTCACTATTTTGATTATGATTGTTTTGGTGTAGATCTCTTTAAAGTCATCTTACTTAGATTTTGTTGAGCTTCTTGGATGTGTAGATTCATGTTTTAGGGGAAGTTTTAGTTGTTATTTCTTTAAATATTCTAACTGCACTTTTTTCTCTTTCTTCTCCTTCTGGGACTCCCATTATGCTCGTGTGCTTTGTGATGTTTTACAGGCCCTAAGGCTCTATACATTTTTTTCCATTATTTTTCTTTTCTGTCCCATCAGACTGAATACTCTCAATGAACCTATCATCAAGTTTGTTGATTCTTCTGCTTGCTCTGATCTACTACTGAGCCCCTCTAATGTGCATTTTATTTTGGTTATTATACTTTTCAACTTCAAAATTTATACAGGGATGGGAAAAAGTAGGTTTATAGTTGTGAGCACATGAAATGCAGAGTTTAGTCTTGTATTATTACTTTTGCTCCACCCTGTATGTCATTATTTCTTTTTCTATAAAAAGACTTTTATGGAAACATTTTAATTTAAAAATTCTCCTTTTCCATAGTCTCTAATTGAGAAGATTTTGCTTTTATACTTCCTTTAGTTTTTTACATATCATTTCCTTTAGTTCTTTAAACATAGTTAAACTAGTTGTTTTAATGACTTTCAAACTGTCAGACAGGTCAAATTATGACAATTCTCAGAATTGTCAGAATTCAGGAGCTTCAAAACCATTCGGCTCCTTCCAGTGGTAGCTAGGCTGCTAGGTTTCATAGTGATAAGTTGGCTTTCATGGCCAGTGTGGAAATGAGGAGAGGGGCATGGGTACATGGAAAATAAAAATGCCACAAATCTTGCTGCATTTATTAAGATTCTGCTATCTTTCTGGAATAAACACTCTTCAGATTGTCACATGCCTTTGGTTAATTTCCGGAGATCTGAAAAAGATGACTTTAACTATTTTTTGTAGTGTTTTTGTTATTTTTATGCAGGAGTGAGTTTTTGGAAATCCTTACTATGCCATTCCTAGTGATGTCCTAATTCTTTAAGAGAAAAATATACATACATGAAAGGACTAATATTTTCTCCCCACATTCTGATACATTATCTAGTACATACAATCTTCAAAAATTTGAGTTTATTAGCATATCTGAAAGTCATGCCACTTGGCATCACATTATTGTGATGGCCCCTCCTGTCTTTTTCGGACCTCCCTGTGGCAGCTCCATTCTCCTGGTCAGTTGGATTGAAGCTCTTAGATTATCTGATACTTCCCTTACTCTCTGCTCCTATATCCCCTCAAGTCTTCCTTCACAGTCTTATTCATACATAACCTTCTATCCATTGCCAATGTGTCATTATCTCTCACCTGCCATGTCTCTCTCTACTTTGCTTACCAAGAGTAAGTGAATCTTCATAAAAACACCACTTAGGTGAGTTCACTCCAGGAATCAGAGGCTTCCATCAACCTCATTTTATCTCCTTCTGGATAAAATCTAGTCTTTTTAATGTGAACCTTCAACTTTTCACAATCTAGACCCAATCTGAACTGAAGGTCAGACCATTTGAGTTCGGACTCCAGTTTATTTCTTGTTGAAACTTTTGAAACTGTCTATTGTATAGGGCATATAACAATATTGAGCACCTATTATGTGCTGAAGTTAGAGTCAGTTCACAGAGATATAGACGAGTAAACCCTTGGTTACAATATATTGTAGTTAAGAACTACTTAGAAGGATTATTTAAGAAGGTATCTGAGAAAGTGCCTTTGAAAATATGAAGGATTAAAATAAGTGAAAGGTATTACTGTGTTTTTTTCTTATTTACCTCCAGTATAATGTTCTCAAAAATTTAGACCCTGGAATTTCTACATTTATAGGAGGCCACATGAATACCTGTTAACCTTGTAGCATTTATATCCTCATCTTTAATGCAGGGATGACATCTGTCCTGCTTACTACCTAGGACTGGGGTGAAGGATCATAGGAGAAGATATATGCAAGATCTTGTGAAGTGCTTTACAAATCCCACTTATTATCAAAACAGTTATTACAAATAAATATGAATAATAAAATACATTACAAAATATTCTCACCTTTATTACTTATGCATCTCAAGTCATTGGTTTGGACAATTTAATGAGAATAAATTGATATCTGTTAAGTATTGCATGGGATACCTTTTGTAAATAGAGTTTTACAATCACACTATGAAAATATTAATGATTATTGGTACATTGCCAAAACAGCCATGGAGGAAAAGAAAAGCAGTTACTTACGCTCTACTTTTAACTGTCCAAGGATAGAATTTTCTCCTCTGCACATGGTCCTAAAAATATGTAAAGAAAGGAAATCATTATGGAGGTTGCAAAGGAACGAATCCCAATTTGCAGGATTTAGTCCTAATCCAGGTAAAAACAGAACAAGTGCTTTTGAGAAAAGATGCTACATAGATTTTTAAAAAAATCTAAAACATGAAAACAATAACTACCACTTTTGTAATGCTACTGATGGAACAAGGTAGTTGTTTTGAGGTGGGTAAAAGGAAAAATTTAAAAATTTATTTCAGAAAGATGTTATTTTTAAAAGATGGATTATGAATGAATTTTCCTTTTTAGAAAATTTGTTGACAGTGAAGATAAATTTAGAATGCCTCAATAGATAAGAATACTTACACAATCACATTGCTTTCAGAGGTAAAAAGGGCAAAATTTTAGCAGAATAATTTTATAATTAAAAAAACTATTATACTTGTGCTCTCTGTAAAGTTGGCAAACCCCTTAAAAGTGAAAAATATAGTCTCAAATAACTGACTATTAATGATTTTGCTTCTTAAGACTCTGATAACAGTCTATGAATTGTAAAGACTGACAAAACAAAAAATCCTATGCTCCATCTGCTTGCTTTATGAAAGTAATTAAAAATACAGTTATGCCTGGGAAATGCTGATATTATTAAAGATTATGCCAGCAAATAGAGATGTTTTGCATAATAAAAGGTTATAGTTTTAGTTGCTGAACAAAAGCCAAGCATGTTATTTTATTCAGCTGGTTCAAACTCAAGAAAATAATCACAAAAAATAATTACAATTGACAATATTCCAAAAATAACATTAGAATGGCAAATAGGGTGGTTAATAGCTGATTAAACATTATGTCAGGGCCTTAAATACTTGAAAAGCTTTGTTTGTCATGTTATAAATCAGATAATAGTAGAAATGGGCAAATCTTCAATCTGAGTGTATAGACCAAACCGCAGTTAAAGTTCTCTCATACTGTGACCAGGCAAAATTCCTCAAGAAGAGACAAACCAAAAAAAATCTTTACTTGAAACCCCAGCAGACAGACGGAAGCTTGAAAAGTCTGAATAAAATAAGAAGATTAAATATATATATATATATTTCCACCACAATGGGCACTCAAACTGTGCACAAAAGACCCTCAGATCCTACAGGGGGTTCCACTAGGAAGGGGGAACCAGTAGCAAGGCATCTAAGCCCCTACCCCTAATTTGACGAAGGCTCCAAACCCTTTTTTGCTCCATATACTGGGGGTTCTGTGAGGTCTCCTTTGTCCTCTAAAAAAGGTTTGATTATAAAAGTGGCCGACTACAGGCGCTTTGGAAAACAAGGGATATTAAAAAAAAAATACCCAGATTCTGTTCTTTGCTTTGTGTTATTAAAAGTGGGATCTTGATTAGGATTCTTTTGTATCTCAGGTTAGAGAGCTTATAGCTGGGAACTGGAGCCATGCCCAGGCTGTCCACCTGCCTCTTCAGTCCTATTCTCTTTCCCAGCTACGTGACCCAGAGAGAAACCTCCTCTCCCCACCTGTCCACCAGCTAGTCCCCCTCAACCCTCTTCATGATGCTCCACTGGCCAAGGCTGAAGCCTCAAGTGCATTTAAAAAAAAAAAAAAATATATATATATATATTGGTTTCAGAGAGAAAGGGAGAGGGAGAGTGAGATAGAAACATCAATGATGAGAGAGAATCATGGATTGGCTGCCTCCTGCACGCCTCCCACTGGTGATTGAGTCTGCAACCCAGGCATGCGCCCTCGACCGGAATCGAACCCAGGACCCTTCAGTCCGCAGGCCAACACTCCATCCACTGAGCCAAACCAGCCAGGGCTCAAGTGTCTTTTTGAGCAGTGCCTATTCACTGCTTTTTAGAATAGAACTTAACCACTTTCCCTATAATTTTAGCTAAGAAGTGGTAGAGAAAAAGAATTAAAATTTCAGGAGCTAGGAAAGAACCTTCATGCGTCTAGTAGAGACTATTATTACAACCTTGTTGAAGGATTTACTACCTAGAAAATCATAAACAAACTTGCACAAATCATAGCATTTTAAGCATTTTTTCTATATAACTGCAAAGAATATAGAAAATTCAATAACTAATTTGGTAGCTTTAACAATAATTTAAAAATCAATAGGTATATATATTTTTATACATACATTTTATATAATATATAAAGTCCTTGTCTCTATATGTATATTTATTATACATAAATATATATACATATAAAATATTTGTGAATATAAAGGAGACTAATATTTTAGTTCTTTAGTATATATAAATATGGATATTATAAATGGAGACAATAACTCCATATATTTTATATTTTACATTATATTTATATGTAATAATTATTACACATTATTTTATATTTACAATATGTATACTATATATTTTATATATATTATAAATATTATATGTACATATATACTAGGCAACAAATATAAACGAGACTAATATTTTAGTTTTTTTATACTTGCCATGTGTCGTAGGCCTACCCTTTATGATTTTAGGTTCTACTTGAATTTTACCAACTAGTAAACAGGCCAAGATTCAGAGTAAAAAAAGAAAAGTGTTCATTTGTTCAACACCCCACTGAGTAGATGTGGACAAACATTTCCATTCCTTTCACCAGCTTATGGGCATGGCTGATTGAAAGCTGAAAACAGACCACACTAGGATTCTGGCACCTGAAGTTGAAGTGCATTATCGCCTGGAGAGCATTTCCTCCGCCCGTTTTAATGTCTCCTTCAAACCCTGGCAGAAGCGGTATCACCACATACACCCGGTATCTCCGGCCTTCCCTGCAAAAATCAGAGGCAGACAGATTCAACAACAACAACAAGATACATACAGTAACAGTTTAAAATGCCAGCCAAGCCTCTCACATGGTTTTAGAGACTGAGCCGATGGCTTCCTACAGTGCATTCTATCCCATCTCAGGGCTTCAGGGCTGCTTTTGGATTGGAGGCCAGAAGCTATTTTCCAGGCTAACAGTTCATAACAAACTGAAAAATAAGTGACCTTGGCAGTAAAGTGGGAATTGTACCCACAGCATAATCCTCCGAGTTCAAAATTCACTGCAAGAAAGCCTTGCTTGGATCCCATGGAAGGGGCGGGGGTGGGGGGGGGGCGGGGAGAGAGGCGGAGAGAGGCTATAACAAAATTTTCAAAAAGACTTTCATAATAATTTTGTGTGTAACATGTTATATCTATAGTTATATCCTAGCTCAGAGACTGGCAAATAGGCATTCAGTTAATAGCTGTTGAGTAAATGATTTCCCATAGCTTAGATCTCTAGAGCAAAAAGACATACTGGATCTACTAGACTAATTTCCAACGATGCAGAAGTCATCATTGTTTAGAAACTAACTCAGCTCTGAAAGCTCTGGTTTAGAGGCTAAATGTTTCCCTGGGTCCTTCAAGAATTCTGGGTGATTGATGACTTTAAATCCCCTGCATATATAACACAGTATTTTTTTTGGCCCATTCTCCCAACTGATTAACGACAGCCTTTAAAAGAAATGCTGTTGGGTAGTCTTAGCTACTCAGTGATGTCACAAATAGAAGAATGTGCAGCTCCTTACTTTGATCTACAGTCAGAAAGTCAGCAAATTGGAGAAGTATGTTCAAACAGGAATCCCCCATTTGGAGGCAAAGTTGTTAAAAGTCTTTGTCTCCATTTGGAAGAGACACGTGAAGAGAAAGCCCGGGAATGACTGTGGAACCCATTGTGGTTGAAGTTTCAGCCGCGTATCTCAGTGTCTATAGTCACACAAAGGTGCTGCTACTGCCTAACTTTCAAATCAGATCCTACTTCAACTTTTCATAATAATTTCTAACATTCATTTCTCCTAAACAACTGCATTTTCTTTCATGTGAATATTATCACTTCTCTTGAGGGGTCAGATTTCATTACTGATGTCTCTAAATGTCAATGTATGTGGCAGGACATGTGGTAAGTGAAGTTCAGATAGAAGTGATAGCCAATAGGAGTCTGAAGGCTTAACTGGTGCTGAGAAACCAGGAATTTGGAATGGTTGTTGTAATGGCATGGACTAATCACTAGATGGCAAACATTGTTTGAGGTGGAAAATAAACCATTAACAAAATGTTAAACTGTTCAAGTTCTCTCTCTGATAAGGGTAAGAGGCTCGCATCCCTAAATGGTGAATAGGGTAGTGGAAAAGAACAGAAAGAATACATAAGCTATTTCCCCAGAGACAGTATTGAAAAGTCCAAACCAATTAAATTCAGAATCAGCTTCGGTCTGATCTGCCCAGACCCACCGTCCCTTTGCTCAGGGGTGCACCTCCCTACTAAGGAGGGCTGGCTCATCTGCTCCCTCAGTTTGGAATTCCCTTCTCCAGCTCTCAGAATGCCACTTCTTCCAGGGCAGCTGAAAGGCTCCTTCCTTGGTCAAGCCATCCTGAATCTTCCAATCAAAATGGGTTTGCTCCCACCTCTGTGCTCCCATGGCACAAAGCCAGAACGTCTACTCACCCCTCTGGCCTTACAAAATAGTGACACAAATGTCTGCTGCCTAGGCCATGTGATAAGCTCTTTTGAAATACAGGACGTATGTCCCCATATCTTTCTACTAGAGGCTCAGTGCACGAATTTGTGCACCAGTGGGGTCCCTCGGCCTGGCCTGCGGGATCAGGCTGAAACTGGCTCTCCGACATCCACTGAGGGGTCCCAGATTGCGAGAGGGCACAGGCCAGGCCGAGGGACCCCACCGATGCATGATCAGGGCCAGGAGGGATGTGGCAGGTTGGCCAGCTGGGGAGGGACTTCGGGAGGGCTCCAGGGCGTGTCCAGCCCATCTCACTCAGTCCCGATCGGCTGGACTCCAGCAGCAAGCTAACCTTCCAGTCAGAGCATCTACCCCCTGGTGGGCAGTGCACATTATAGCGAGCAGTTGAGCGGCCTTAGCATGTCATTAGCATATTATGCTTTGATTGGTTGACCGGACAACCAGATGACCAGACACTTAGCATATTAGGCTTTTATTATATAGGATTTCTGGCAGTGTCCAGTGGAAGATCCTGGCACACGGTATGCACTTGGCACTATTTTCTTTGGAAAGATGAGGTCAGGCTGTAAGAATGTTTCTGGGGAATAAAGGTTAAGCTGAACAGGTCATTTTTCTTTAAATTACATTACATTTTACTTTAATTTTGTATATATATATATAAATTTGCCATCTTAACCATTTTTAAGTGTACCATTCAGTGGTATGAATTACATTCATATGTTGTGCAACCATCACGATACTGTGAACCCTAAGAAGGAAGACACCTACTAAGAAGGGCTCCTGGTGGCTAGCTTGGCTCAAACTGAAACAATACAAACCCTAGCAGCCACTTCTGCACGGAGGCCTTTCACGGAAACTGCACTTCAGGGAGAAGCCTGCGCTAGACTGCCTGCCTGCACTGTTTTCTGCCCTCTGAGCCAGCCCTTATAAAGAATTTACTGAAATGCTATATCAAACAATAGGACTGAGGCTTTCCCTATCCAGTCAGAGACGCACAGCTCTGACCAACCAGAGCAGCTCTATTCTGGCCAATCAGGACAGTGGCTTTGGACCAATCAAACTGTCCTCATGCAAACAAGGATTTAGAGTCCTTATTTGCATGAGGACTGGCCAATCAGGTACCAGAGGCAGGACTTCTGTCCATATAAGCCGAGAGCTCCTCTCTGACTTCAAGACCTCACTTTCCCTTTCCAAAGACTGAAGACTGCATTTCCCGGCTGAGCTGAAACACTGAAGATGCCCTGGCAGAGGAAAGCAGAGGAGACTGGTGTAACACAGAGCAGACAAAGCACAGTGCAGTGCAAAGCAGATGTGCAAAGAGCAGAGCAGAGCTGTGCGGCTGGAGAAGGCCTGGCCCTAAAGCCGCCTGGCCCCAAGGCCACCTCATAGCCGTGCGTCACAACTGAGCTGTTCTATAACCTTGGTGTTTTCACAGCTGTGCTGTGTCACAGTTGAGCTGTTTTGCACTGAATAGAGTTTCCTTCTCCACTGCACCCCAAATTGGAGATTCCTGTTAGTGTTGAATTAGTACCAATGACCATTGTTGAAAAATATCTATTTCCAAAACTTTCATGACCCCAAAAAGAAAATCTATGATAATTAAGCAATAACTCCACTACTTCCCCTCTCTGCAACTCCTGGTAACCTTTCTCTCTCTATGGATTTGACTATTCTAGGTATTTCATCTAAGTGGAATCATACAACATTTGTCCTTTTGTGTCTGACTTATTTCACTTAGCATAATGTCCTCAAGTTTCATCGATGTTGTAGCATGTGTTAAAATTTCCTTCCCTCTTATGGCTGAATAATATTCCATTGTATGTATAAACCACATTTTGTTTATCCAGTCATCTGTTTATAGGCACTTGGGTTGTTTCCACCTTTTGGATATTGTGAATAAGGCTGCAATGAATGTTTGCGTACAGTATCTGAGTCCCTGTTTTTAGTCATTTTGAGTATACATCCAGGAATGGCATTGCTGGGTCATACAGTTATCCTAAAGTGTCCTTTGATAGAAGATTGGATAAAGAAGATGTGGTACATATATACAATGGAATACTACTCAGCCATAAGGAAAGATGAAATACTGCCATTTGCGATAACGTGGATGTGTCTTGAGATTTTCATGCCAAGGGAAATGTCAGACAGAAAATGTCAAGAATCATATTTCATTTATATGTGGGATATAAAACTGAAAACAACAAATGAACAAACAAGATAAACAAACAAATAAAAACTCATAGACACAGACAACAGTATGTCGTTACCAGAGGAAGGGGAGGTTAATAAAAGGTAAAGGGAATCAAATATATGGTGATGGACGAAGATTTGACTCTGGGTGGTGGGAACACAATACAGTATACAGATAATGTATCATAGAATTGTACAACAATGCCATACCAATAAATATGATTTAAAAATATAACTTATAATTTGAAAATATAATTTAACCCCCTCCCGCAAATTCTCCTTTGTTCCTGGGTCCATTTCCTCTCCCTTAAAGCAATGCCTATTATCTTCCATGTTTCTCAGAAATAGTCTATGAATTTATAAGTATATACATGTACTCTTTTCTTATACACAAATATGAAAATACTATACACACTTTACTGAGTGTTATTTGTATCATTTATCAGTGTATCCTGGAAATTCTGTACATAGAGAGTTGCCCATATTTTAACAGCAGTGACATAGTATGTCACCATATATCCAAACCATAATATTAAACTAGTTCTCTATTGGTGGACATTTAAATTGTTTCTAATTTTTGTTGTTGTTATTTCAAAATAACTACATATTTTGCTATGTACGCTGACCCACAAAATTATTTTTTCACATTTGTGGGGAAAGTTTCAGAAGTGGTATTGCTGGTCCTGAACATCAAGAGTTTGTGACTCTATTTGTAAGAGATGGTTCCCTTTTATCCTCATGTTTTATAAAAACAAACATGACATCAAAATGGAGACCTCATATGTAAGCTATTGAGAAGTGTCCTATAAAAATATTTTTTATCTAAATATCTTTAGATAAAAAATTCTTACAAATTTACTTTGTAAGAATCAGAATACTCAACTTGTCTTGTTCTTGGGACTTTATTAGCTCCTTTCCTTTCTTTCTTTTTTGTTTTTTTACAATGGAGTAGTTCTTGAATTTCCCAAATGATAAAATTTTTAAACTGTGTTAAGCAAATTAGCAGAAATGACTTAGATGTTTACTACTGTAGGGAAAAAAGAACTCTAGGATTTCAAACTGTAAAATCGTGGTTAG